ATGAGCGATTTGCCAAATGGGTCGTTGACCGGCGGTTCTCGATCCTAACAGTCAGCCATTCTTAAGTACTAAAATGTCAACTGGTAACATGTTTTTACCCAGCAGAAATAGCTGTCATAAACATTGAAAAGATGTGTTTTCTGTGTAAAATAGAATGTTACCATACTATACGTAGCAAGATATAACAAGATCTGTTACTATAATGACACTCAAAACAGTGGCAACAACAGTAAACAATAAAATGGCCATTCTTCGTTGGCTCCTAAAAATGCTGTCAAATAATGTCAACTAGTAACATGTTTTCCCCCAGTCACAAACTGTCATTGAACATTTGTGTTTTCTGTCTAAAAATAAAATGTGACTTTATACTATATGTAGCAAGATATAATATTAGAACTATTGCTAGGATGACAATCAAAACATTCTACAGCTGTGTTTCGGCGTATCACTTTCAAACAAAAACACTTTCTGTACGTTGGTGTTTATGCTCAAGTAATTTCCTTCCAATAGGTTAACTTAAGAAATTGGAAGGCTTCTGCCTTTTTTGTATTGAAAAAGTAGTTATGCATTTTGCTAACTCTTAACCACAGATATGATCCCTGTGACCCAGATACACAGTGCAACAATTCAACCTGACTTATGTCCGGCAAAGGTAATTTTAATCTTTTCAAACCCAGCTACAAATTGTGGTTTCTTTAGCTTTCAGGTTTCAAAAGTTCAGTTTCTAAATGCAACATAACAAATAAAGTCTCAGTTAACACAATACAAGTACCCAAGTTTCTGATACTTACACTGTCTTTATTGATAGTTGTCAATGTGGAATTATCTGTTACCCTTTTACCGTTACTAGGCTTGGATATTGCATTGTATATCTTCATCCAAATGATAAATCAAATCACATAATGAGAAACAACACTAATAAATAAGGAAGCAGCCAAACCATCTCAGAAGCCCGCCATTTTCGAGTGACAAGGACTGAGTAACCTCTACTTCGTCAAAGGAGTTATTTCCGCCGTGACAATTACTTCTGCCGTGAAATTCACTTCCGCCGTGAGGATTTTCGTTTTGCCGTGAAGTTATTCCGTTTTGCCGTAGGGGTATTTGGTTTTGCTGTGAGTTCAATATTCGATTTAGCAGCGAGTTATTTGCTTTTGGGTGTGCTTTTCGGTGCCGTGACACCCATGGGCCACCATAAGAATAAGATACCTCGAGTGCATCGTAAAAATCAGCATTGTCACGGCTTTCAATCTGAATAAACAATAAGGCGATTAACTGTGTTAATGAATGGTTCATATCCTGAACGGGGCTTGAAGTGCAGATGAAGGGATACCAGTTACATTTGTAACACCGCTGGCTAAATCATTCATTAGAAAAGACAAGGTACCCGATGCATCCAATAATCGATACGTTGTTTCAATAAGAATATCTGTCTCCAACTCTTGTTCACCAATATTAGCCAAAATATTGAGAACGCTTTTAAGATTCTGAAGAAACAGTGCGAACCCACGTTCATTTCTTTCTCGTAACACCACTCGACGTGACCTTTGTTGACGAGCCGCCATGTTGTTAGCACATGGCTGAGAACACTGCCGCAAAGACGTATGGGACAAAAAACAAAAATAATTATGGGTTCGTTCAACAAAATTTATTTCTGTAGATAAAATAAATATGACCTTAAAAAAGCAATTAAGGTCATTTCTCACATTTGCATTGCGCATCCTTACTGCGCATAATTTATGGCGTCATTAGCGCGGGCTCGTGCGCGCGCACATTGAAAACATGACGGATTTGCCTTGATATTGAGCTCTGTCAGTTGAAAAATGGCTCTAGCTCACCAACGAGCACGGGCACCCCAATTTTTT